AATAAAGCCAAACGTGAATAAAAAGATCCAAAATTTCAAAATTTTTCAGATGGAAAATTATACCAAACAAACACACTTAATTAGCAATTCCCTGTAAAACAAGTTCTAAGCAATTACTTCCCCTAAAATTTGTTTTCTTTCTATCCATTTTTCACCCTTACAATCAAACGGATCTTTATATTTATGCAGGTGCAATAACTTATTTAAACATAATTAATACCTAAATGGTTGACCATTTAGATAAATAGCATTTGTTAGGTTTTTAGTTGTATTGATAATTTTTTAGATAAAAAGATTATTATAAGAGAATATGATTATTATAAACAAGCTGTAAAAATCAAGAAATCTTTTGGAGGTTGTATAGATGAATTAGGAGTCTTTAGGTTCGAGTATGGAAAAATGAGAAAGCGTCGTCGGATTTAAGCTAGCATGTCGCCTAGTTGATGATCGAGCGAAAAAAAAAGAATTATTGTCGTCTGCCTCTCGTTCGAACGAACACCGTCGTTAGCCTGGCACTCGAGTGACGATATTTTTTGAGAAATCATAGTTCACGATTTTCAAGAAATCTATCTATCTTATACTACCCAAATACCTCTTATTATAAATATACAATGACCACTACGTTTTTGTGGGTTGTTGATCATCATTTTACATCCTCATAACATCAATCCAAGATCTAAAAATACATCCAAACATAAAGATTAAACTTTTGATTCTTCAATCAACTACAAGTTGGAAAAAACATCAAAGCCAAATAATCCAAAATACCAACTTCCTAAACACAATTAGGAATGTACTTTCTCAATAACTTTTAAATGCTGAAATTTGAGAGAGGTTGAACCAAATATACAAGAAGAGTAGAAAAATAAGGTGTTCTTAGTGATCGACATGAAATAGACAATTCCAGAATATCGGAAGCAAGTGTGAGTGAAGCACGTTTGAATGGGTCTTGGAGATTGCAGGAATTAGATCAACGAGTTTGGTGAATTTTTTTAGGTTGAATCATACTATAAGTTCTTATTGTTTATAGTGAAAACTATTAACTTGGCTCCGGAGTTTTTACCTAATTAGGGTTTGCTTCGTCATCAATTCTTTGTGTTATTTGCTGCTTTAATTACTATTGTAACAATTAAGTATATGATAAAATTGACTTGATTGATTAAACATATAGAACAATAAAAAATGACTCGTTGCTTTTTTAATTTGTAAGTTTAGGATCGAATTGGTAATTTTTCTGTATTATTATTATTATTATTATTATTTTCTTCCACTCCTGCAATTGCATATGCTCCCTTCTCTACGTTGTGCTCTACTTTTGAAGTTTAGAGATTTAGTCATTGTTAACTTGGATTTGAGATTAAAATTAGATTTTATTCTATATAAAATGTAGGGATGACATCATGGTAAGGCGCGATGGGTAAGGCGAGGTAGAGATGGTTGGGATTAAAAAAAAATTGTAACTTATTTATTCAATATTTTTAATACTATTAAAATTGTAAATTATAAAATAAAAAAAA